GAGGTTGCTGCAAGCACAGAATACTCCGCAAGAGCTACCCGGTTCATATTCAGAAAGCCCTCGCACAAACCGAATGCCGTATGTGCGAAAGCCACCACTGGTTGTGCTAACTCTGGCACCCACTACGCCCATTTCGAACACGTCCACTCACCCGTAAGCGTATGCCAAATTCGCATCGAATGTCGAGGGCATTGATGACCTTCCTTGGTAACCAAAGAAGTGCGTCACCGCCTGGAACTTTCCAGAGTAGCGGCCTATGGATGCCCTGTACTCCAGCTCCTCCTTGACCATTTGGGCTAATAGCTCCTCCGTCTCTAGGCGTTCGAAGCGAATCTAAGATATCGCAAGCGAGAGAAGACAAGAATACGGAAGGGTCAGATGTGCTATCTGTCCCTCAACTGCCACACCATTGCAACTGCTGGAGGTGGGTTTATGCTTATGGCTTACCTCCCCCATGTCTACTTGGACGAGCTCTCTGCGAATGAATTTCGGGAAAGTCTTGAACAGGGCAGCGCTCCATGGTGTTAATCGCCAGTTCCAGCTGTCCGGTTCGTTTGAGGCCCAACTATCCACATCCATGAGTTGTTGCTGTGTTCACAACCATACCAACACAGCACACAGCGCAAATGAGGAAGCTGTCCGAATGCTGCAGATTCGGCTGGTCCGCAGCTGCCTAATTGCAGCTACGCAAGACGTCATCGTTCTAGAACATTTTGATATGGGGTTGCACTAGCTGCAATCTACAGGTAAGCATGTTCTCCAGTCAAGTGGAATTAAATGTTACCACCTAGCTAAATCGCACGCTACACCTGCTGACCGCTAGCTAGCTCCGATTTACTAGCGGCAGAGTGGGACTAGCGGCATCTGGCCCGCTGCGTGCACCTGCGGTTCGGCTGAGGAGCAGCAAATGTCTAGCTATCTAGGTACGAGCACTACCTGGGCTTTCTTCATCTCTCCCTTCGCTTGTGCTTCTCTGATGATTCTTCGGAGCTCTGCCAACAGGATCTTCATGTTCGGCAGGTGCATTAAAAGCGCGTCTGGAATTAAGACCGTTCCGAAGTTCCTTCCCAACTCAGCACGACGGCAGACGACGTCTGCAATGTCCTGAATGCATTTTCGTTGAACCGGAGCCAAACTGCTACTGACACCCCCAGTAATGTGGAACAGAAACGCGTGCGTTTAACTTTCATCTGCGTTCCCTTCTGAGGCTATCAAGTTTCACCCACCTGTACGACGTGCAGAAGTGTCTTGTCGGCAGCCCCATAC